TGCTTACAATAAAACTTAGATAATCAGTAATATGCACTAAGACTACTATACATAGGCCCTGCCCTGAGACTAAAAAGTACTAAATGAGTCTTCATTTTTTAGCAAATAGTAGATAGACAGATTGATTCTGAATTGTTTATACATTGCCATCGACCGATACTGCCAAATCAGTGTCATACAGCATACCACTAAAGTTATGGATACACAGTAGTTTATAACTGATACTGATTTTGCAAAAGTAAAGCTTAAAAAAAAACCCCAATCACACATCAAATGCAAAGAAGAAAATAATCCGATTAACAAGCTTAATTTAATAGAATGAGAGTGAAGGACAATTTCTTTTTTGAAATATTCTCTTAAGGCAGGGATGCATATGCATGTCAGTGTCTTAATATGGCTGTTGTATATTCATAGATTAGCAAAGTATAATGCCAGAAGAGCTATTTAGTGTGACCTTATATATCACTGACTATTAAACATCACTGAGTCAGGTAGTATAGAATATCAGTTGCTCATCTCATCAGGTATTCTGTTTGACAGGGGCCGAGAGCTCATACTTCTCATATATCTGCAAGATTGATTTACTGAACCTGCAAGGAATAGCTGGATCAAAGGATTTTCTTCTCAACTCTAGGCAAATCATGCTTGATATGCTTTAAAATTTTATTCCTCTTAAAATTCTAGTGCACTTTGACTTCATAGTTGCAAAAGAGGAGTTACACTTAGAGCCTTTTAATGTATTTACTCTTCTTACACTTGTTAGTTTTGCTTGGTTTTACTTTTTTGTGTTTTCCTGGCTTGACATAACAGTGCTTGCGAATGAAATCTGAAAGCATGTAACTGGGTAAGGATCAGTTTTGGAGAAGACAGGGTGTTTTAACTGATTTCCGCTGAAACAGGAATAATACAACCCAGTTATGGAACTGAGGAACCTGGATTTCCAGGCTAGACTTGCAAAGTGACTTTGTACATGAAGGTAAGCTGGAGGAGAAGAGGTCACTCTCCTTCCCATTTGACTCAGGAACCCCTCAGTTCAGAGTCCTGCCTGTTGTGTGGAGTCTGGGATTCAAATCCGGTCCAAGAAATGGCTTGAGGACAGACCTCTGGTCACCCAGGGTTGCACCCTAACTCCTGTCCTGTTGTGTATTGTAAGGCAGGTCTGCTTGGTTTGTGTAACCGATACGCACCAGGTAAGGAAGCGTGAAGGTTTGCAGAACTGGAACAGGAGATCAGTTCTGGTGCCCCCACCATAAGAGGGACATGGATCTCTTGGAGGGGGGTCAGAGGAGGCCACAAAGATGATCAGGGGGCTGGAGCACCTCTGCTATGAGGACAGGCTGCGGGAGCTGGGATTGTTCAGTCTTGAAAAAAGAGGACTCCAGGGGGTCCTTATCACTGCCTTCAGTACCTGAAGGGAACCTACAGGAAGGCTGGGGAGGGACTTTTTACAAGAGTGTCCAGCGATAGGGCAAGGGGAAATGGGTTTAAGTTGGAGAATAGATTTGGATTAGACCTTAGGAAGAAATTCTTCAGTACGAGGGCGGCAAGACTTTGGAATAAATTGCCCAGAGATGTTGTGGCTGCCCCCTCCCTGGGGGGGTTCAAGGGCAAATTGGACGGAGCCTTGAGTAGCCTGATCTAGTTGAGAGGTGTCCCTGCCCATGACAGGGAGGTTGGACTGGATGATCTCTAAGGTCACTTCCAACTTAGGCCAGTCTGTGATTCTGTGATCCACACCAACAGGGCAGTCTTTGTTCTTATGTTAGTGGTCTGCATATACTGACCAAGTCTGTCTGGAAGGGCAGCTGCTTCACGGAGTGCCCACCTCATTCCTGTGGCAGAGAAGAAATAAGTAATGCCTCACTCTCTGGATTACCAGCAGCACTTCAGTCACATCTACTTCCTCAAACTCTAGGACTATTCCAGCTGTGTTGAAATGCATATATGGAATTACATGGATTTGTAAAATGAGTGATATTGAAATTACTAATTGAAATGATCCTAATGCTTTAAAAAATGTTAAGCGTTTTGGAATTTAGAAGTCCTCAAGACAGTGTCACAAAAAAGACTTATAAAATCCAATCCTTGAGTATCTTGGAGATGACTAACCCATTGCCAGCTCCAAATCAGGCAGAAAAGCAATCTAAGCGTATGACAGTTCAGTTAAAGCATTCAAGGAAACTAGCCTCATATCTCTGCTGTATTTATGAGTAATATGCAAGTCCCTCTGTAAAGCTAACCTTTCATCTCCAAGTGTACTTTGCTTAAGTATCCAAAACCAAAAAAAATTCTTCAGCTCCACCTGTTTGTCCCTGGAAATGATCACTTTTAGTACCACCAAACAGTTATTGACAGTCATGTAAATAACTGAGTAATGCTGGTCATGTATTATATAAAATGGATTTAGTATTTTATGTCTCTTCTCAATGTATTCTGATAAAGTTAAATGCCTATTTTATTATTTTCTCTGATTCTCATTAATTTTTTTATATTCCTGACAAATCTGTCCTCATTTGGCAAAATGCTCTTAAAGTTGAGCAACCCTGCTCGTGTTACCCCTGTGCAGACACTGTAAAGGGCATCTTTAACTGCTGTTTTTCCAACTCCTTCTGCTCTTTCTGTACCTTTTATAATTTGAGGGAGCACAAGGGAATGCTGTTTTCCTGGAGAGAATGGCATACTGATTTCTAACTTATTTATTTTTTTTATTGCTACAAAGATTTGGTACTAGTGACACTTGGTTTATATTTCAGTAGTATAATTTCCACATTTTGTTCATTATTTGCATAGTTTTTTAGCTGCTGGTTTAATCTGCAGAGAACTGAATTCCCACTGCGCTGCAGATATTCATGCCCCAATGTTTTTCATTTACAAGTGAATGTCACTCTCATTTTTACCCTGAATATACATTCTTGCATAGCTGTCAAAACCGAATTTAAGTTGTCACTTTATTCTCAGATGCCTTAGGAACTGGTGGCTATGGCATCCTTTCCTGGTGAAACATTTCTTCCCACACCCCTTCCTTCAATTTATGAATTTACTGAAGTATTTCCTTTGTGTTTCTTCTTGAGCTAATATCAGATGGAAATAATTAACTTAGATGAGATAAGAAAGGTCACTAAATGCTCCTTCTTTTTAACCCTTGTACTCGGGGAATGTCTAGACTCCTCATGAGGATCAGTTTTCTCTCCCATGCCAAATAATTTGTGACTTTACTATCTGTGTACATTTTTTCTTTTCCAAATGCTCTCACTTTCTGAACTTCCTTGCTTATATTCCTATTTGCTGTTGTTAGCTGGAAGTTTTTTTATTTCCTGAAGGAAGCTGCTTGAATAACCTTATGAAAATTGTTAAGTAACTCTAATTTTGTTTCACTATTTGATTTTTATTTTGTTTTTAAAGAAAGTGCATATGACGTTTTATCTTGATGTGTTGCATATTAACAAGTGTTTTAAGCAGTTCTAGTAAACTTGAGTTGCATCCATTCTAAGCCAAAAAGCAATTTAATTCCAGTCATTGTTTAAATATCTTCACATGGGTTTAGATTTTTCTAATCCCACTCTGCAAAATTTAAGATTAGCTGGTCTTTGGCATGATGTCTTCGTTAATATGATGTCTGCTGTGGCTTGGTTGCATCAATATTTTTAGCCCTAAATCAGAAGTTTTTAGCCCTAAATCAGAAGTAGGCTGAACCTCTATGAAAATAATTCGAGAATTTGGATTTTATCCTGTGGTTTCATTGGAACAGCCTTTTCCTTCTGTTTGCTGCAGATCTAGACATCCCACAAAAGCAACTTGGGGTATAAAGTATTTTTGCACTTGCAACACTTGCGTTGGAGTACTTGAAGCATCCATTGTTTCTTCGATTACATTTAGTTTTTGTTTAATTTCTCTCAGCAATGAGTGCTTAAAACTCCTCTCCCTCTTGCATGTCTGTAGAGCAGGAGGTACACCTGAAGTTGTGTTGCAATATAGAGGCTAATACGCTCTCTGACATGCACTTGGTGTGAGCATACATTTTTCTTTTTAGAGAAAAGCTGAATGGCTCATCCACAATAAAAAGCTCCGCTTTCAGTTATCTGCCTTATTATTCTTCTGTTTCAGGAAAGAGTAAAACGTTTAGATTTTCTTCAGCATTCCATCTCTTAGAAATAGGAGTCCTTTTGTTCTTGTGTAGACCGTGATTGTATAAATTAATTCTTAAACCTAGATTCTCTATATCTAGCAATACCAGAGATCTAGCAGACATGCTGTCTACTCACAGGGCTAGACATCTAGGATCAGGGGTGGTAGGAAGGACCTTCTCTTTTCTCGTGCAGGATTGGGAAGCCAGATTAGCTATGAAGTGCTTGAATATAAGAAACTGAACATAGTATGTGAAACCGGACACAACAAATTTAGCGTTATCTGAGCTTTTCTTTGCAATTACTGACATATGAATGCATTTTAGTCTTAACCTGCACCAGCCTTTGTTACCTCAATCTGGACCTGAAATTGCCAGCTGTGCCATCCTCTTTGGAAAGTATGTAATATGGATAAACATCCACTGGGAGCTAGGACAAGAGCTCCAAAAATCTTTTTAATTGATCCATGAATTACACATGCATAACTAGAATATTTAACCATTTCTTCTGCCTATAGCTTTCATACCTCTTTATGTGTCTCCTTCAGAGAACCCTGAAATAAAAAGGCTGTAGACTACTCCAAGCTCATTAATGTGTTATAGAAGTTATGATTATTTGAGCATGCCTGTACACATTTACGTTACTGTACATATACAGGGTGTTTTACATAATCTGTTGACTAAAAATTGTCAAAGTCAACGCTGGGCATATGAAGAGGAGCCCATAGGAACAGCATCTCTTTCTTGTAATCATAGTGATAACCTGGGACTAATGAGACTTCGAAGTGGGCTTGTTTGTTTTGTTTGGGTTTTTTTTTTAATAAAGCACTTGATTTCCTTCTGCTGCATGAACTTTTGCCCTGTTTTATTGTTCCAGGAGGAATGCAGTGCCCAAATAGCAGTGCGCTACAGGAGACGCGCAGCTGTAACGAGCACTCTTGCACTGTGTATCATTGGCAGACCGGCCCGTGGGGACAGTGCATAGAGGATACGTCTGTCTCTGCTTTCAACTCCTCTGCCAACTGGAACGGGGAGGCCACCTGTTCCGTGGGGATGCAGACAAGAAAGGTTATCTGTGTGAGAGTCAACGTGGGACAAGTGGGCCCGAAAAAGTAAAGATCTTAAAACTATCTTTATGCTGGAGTTATCCTTGGATTTTGCTTTGTTATGTTCAGAGTCATAGAATGTTGTCTATTGGAAGGGCCCTCTGGAGCTCACCCAGTGCCACCCCCTGCCAGAGCAGGGTCACCCAGGGCAGCCACACAGGAATGTATCCAGATGGGTTTTGAAAGTCTCCAGAGCAGGAGACTCCACACCCTCCCTGGGCAGCCTGGGCCAGGGCTCCGGCACCCGCACGGCCAAGAACTTTCTCCTCAGGTTGAGGTGGAACTTCCCATGTTCTAACTTAAACCCATTATTGCTTGTCCTAATGCTGGGCACCACTGAGAAGAGATTGTCCCCTTCCTCCTGACCCCATCCCTCAGGTATTTCTATACAATAATAAATCCCCTCTCAGCCGTCTCCTTTCAAGGCTGAACAGCCCCAGGTCTCTCAGTCTCTCTTCCCAGCAGAGATGTTCAGTCCCTTGATCACCCTCGTAGCTCTCCCTTGGACTCTCTCCAGTAGGTCCCTGCATCTCTTGAATTGGGGAGCCCAAAACTGGACACAGGATTCCAGTATTCACCAATGACTACATGCAAGGGCATGTATTGTGTTCTCCTGAGGAAACAATTCTTGTTTTAAAAATACAAAACTGAAGCTACAGGAGGACTATATAACATCTTTCTCACTATTGATTTTTACGGCTGATATTCAGTGGTGATTCTGCTGACAGCTGACTGACTACTGAATCTGCTGGTCACCTTGCCATCAGCAGGCTGAGTCTAGATGAAAGTCTTGAGGCACGTGTGTGACGTGCAGTGCAGCACCATTTCCAGGATCCTTCTGGTACCCCCATGCAAGTGATGCATTATATGGATTAGTGCAGTACCATGCAGAAATAGTGTTTTGGTTATAAGTACAGTAGAGTCTATGTAAGTGCATCTTCTCAGAAGCTGGCCAAGGATGTGAAGCATAATGCAACTCTGACAGGTCATTAGTTTGAACATTAGTTAGTTTGACAACTTTTGTGACTTTTTTTTTTCCCCTCTATATAAATTTTTCTTTAAGAGATCCCTTTTGCCAAATAATTTAATTTTAGGGTTCAATATATGGCCAGGGTTAAATAAAGATTAGCTGCTAGTAAAATGCATGTGATAATATCTTTGTACTCTTTGGCAGTCTGTAAATATATCCCACTCAGGACAGATTCAAAGCTTGAAGAGATGATAGCAGAGGTCATTTAGGAAGTTCATGAGGCAGCTATTCTCACACTTAGTACGTGCATGGTGCCTGCCATTTGTTACTTTATTCAGCAATAGACTTATTCCATTAATGGATTTTAAATGGAAATATGGGAAATAATACCAGCACATTCAGTAATCTAAACTGTTGTATATCTGCATTAAGTTTCTATTCTATTCAGTCATGATACCATTATATCTTTTATTTGGTACTCATTTTTCCACTTAAAAAACCCTCTGATGATTTATCTTCCGTTTTAAATCTACTGTTAATGTCTCTGCCTTTGATTTGACCTTAAATTTTTGGGAGGAGAGCTCTTTTATGGTATCATAAATGAATCTGTGACATGAGAAAAAAAGGCTTGGTTGATCCTTCAAATTGTCACATTAAAATCACTGAATCATTTTTAAAGACTCAGACATTTAACATGAAAATGTAAATAGGAACCTTGTTTTTAAATCTCCTTAATAAAAAGGATTACTGTGGTACGATACGATCAATATTATTGGTCTTATCTACCTCACAAGTTACAGACTTCAGCTTGTATCTTTTCAGTTTAATTTGACCTTGAGTAAGGACTGCAAAAAAATCAATACTTTGCTTTAAGCCACATACACTAAACACAAACAATACAAAAGACAGAAATGGTGTTCTAATTGAACTAATTGCTTCACTCGAGGATCTGAAGAGGAATTGTAATATTCAGTGCTCCTGAAAGATGTTCTCAGTGAAACAGTGGATGTATATAATTCAGACCTTTTTATATGCTTCTTTCTGCTCTTCTGTGAAGGAAAAAGCCATTAGTAAGCCAGTATTCAGTAATGTTCAGGAGCTTTTTTAATTTTAACCTTAGAGAAAATTTCTAAGAATTTAGTCAATGTATGTGATTGGTGGCAGAAGTTTTTTTAAAGTATACCTGATCATATGTATTATATACACGCATATATAATCTGATTTTGTGAATCACATAGAAACAAGGCACGATTTGACTTAAAAATGTATAAGGCTTATGGAGAAGTGATGGAGATTTATGTTGTTATAGCTGTAAAGTTTCATTGGTGTTTTAGGGGAGAAAAGAGAAAGAATGGAGTTGTCATTATAGGAGACCACCAAGCTGATGCTGGTTCACAGTAACAGATCATACTCTGAAAAGTTTATGTGAATTGAGAGGAAAATGCAGAGACAACTGATGTAAATAATAACTAGCAAATGTTGTTGCTGAAGAATATGTCCCTGTAATGCTACAGCTCAACTTTTCTTCTCCTTTCCCCCTACTTCTCCTCCCACACTGTGCAGGCACAGTTCTCCACTAACTCTGGAGACCACATTTTCTTCGTAGTTCTTTGTTAGACTTGCCTGTGTTCCCTCCAGATGCCCTGTGCCAGCCAAGCTTTGCCAGCTGAGCCCATCCAAATGCAAAACCCTTGTCTCATCTCTCTGGTCCCAGATGCCCGGCAGTCACAAGAGGAAAAGCTAATAATAGTAATGTTTTTCTGTAATGAGCCAAAATGTAGAAGTGATGTTTTCCGTACCTTTTTAAATATTTCTCTAGCACTCCATAGTCTCTACGCTTTTAGAGCAATAGTTATTTTTGCATTATTTTAAATACATGCAGTGTTCTGCGTGAGTTATTGCTTCATTCTGAGAACGAGTATTGCAGCACAGAGAGTTGTTTGTCCTTGATGAAAACTAGGAGCACAGAATGGGAAAAATGACCTGGGTTAATGAGTCCCATATGTGGCAGTCCAATAATCTCTTTTATATGCTGATCAAGCTTCTTCCTAAAACAAGGAGGGTTTTCTGTCTCTTCTGACAGTCTTTCACAGTCTCATTGATCTGGCAGTTTCTAATCTTTTTCTGGTTTCTGTCATTGTCATGGCCAGCTTGTATTTATTTGTTTCTGGGTTAGCAATGTTGCTTAATTTAAATATGCCTCCTTCCAGTGTTTGTGCTTCTGGTAAATTTATGAATAGCTAAAAAAGTGTTTTGCTAAGGTAAAACTAGGAATATAGATGAGTTTCCATCATAATCATCTGGAAGCTTGAAAGTAACACTCAAAAGGCAGAGTCTGCAATGGTGAGTGAGGAATGATGCTCTTTTTAAGTTAAATCCCCAGATGCGAAATGCACAGGTTTTGGCTTGCTCTCACCAGATATATAAATGCTAATAGTTTTTATTTCTGTGCTCCATCCTGGTGAATTCCGAGCAACTAGCACTCCCCTCATGTGCCTGCAGGCATTCAGTACCTCTCCTGATTCGCCACTTCACCACGGAATGATTATTTATTTGATAATGTTTCCTTTTTTTCTTTTTTTAGATGCCCTGAGAGCCTCCGACCAGAAACCGTGAGACCTTGTCTCCTTCCCTGCAGGAAGGACTGTATTGTGACTCCATTCAGTGACTGGACATTATGTCCTTCTTCATGTCAAGAAGGTAATTTTATCCATTGTTAGTAGACATTGTTTTATCCATTATTTTATCCATTGCTAGTATACCGATTTTAAGTCGGAAAGGAGATAGACAAGTAGTCACTCTTGGCAGAATGCTTATACACATCTCTGAGTTATCTCTATATATTTTCTGTAGACATCTGTTCGGATTTTTTACCCATTTTACCTGCTTTTATGTTGCAAATTCCCATCTGCGTCTTCCGCTGATAAAGAGAAAATTAGGCACGGAGTAGACACATATCTCTTAGTGTAACACCAAAACAGATATGTTGTACAGTTGTAGCCTTTGGACTGTCAGGTTGTAAAATGGTCATCAGAAAAACCTGACACTCTATACCAGATAATTTTCTGATAGATAGATAGATAGATAAATAGATGTGTATATGTATATGTACATGTACATGTATGTAATTTTGGCTAGTTTCTTCTCCTCCAAGGAAAACTGAAGGAAAGTTAATAAATACCCGCAGACTTGATGTCAGCCATCTGAGTTAAATACACATTCCGATACCATTTTGATACACTTGGCAAAGCTCTTAAAAACATTGCAGGTCTCCCCTGAATTTTTATTACATTGAAATCCTACATGAAGTTAAGGTGATGACCAGCTGAGTATTGCCCACGTTTTTATGCCTTGTCTCTTTTTTTTAAGCTTAACAGGAGGTGTTTTTTCTAATATGTGCTGTTACAGACAGACGGTAATAACCCATGTTGCACAGAGTGCTAATCCCCATGTGTAGCTGAGATTACTCACAGGTACATATTATCAGAATGTAAGAAATTGTTACATCAAATATGCACACTGCAAATGTCACGGCCAATTCTTTACGCCTTATAAAGGACACAAGCATAAGGCATTTTTTTGCAGTAATTCCTAATAGTGCTTAGCGTATTCTAACAAATAAAAAAAAGAGTTAGGAAGATTAAATGTGTAAACTTTGAAAGAGAGGAGAGAATTAAGATCGCTGAATACAAATCTATGAAATACTTATCCTTTATTAAACACTGTGTTATTTACCAGCAGTGTTAATTGTTCTTTCTGAAATATTTTTCTTGGAGAAGATCCTTTCTGCCATCCTTTTCTGTTCTCATTTCCACGGGCTCTAAGAAATAAGCAAATCTGCACGACTCTTTACTACAAGCCAGCATGCTGGCTTCTATAAAACAATGTATTTGTGAACCAGTACAGGCATTCTGTATGTTCAGGGAGTCAAACTCTTTTTATGCTACACAGACAGTTTTTATTTCGTGGGGTTTGTGTCAGCAAGCTGGTCAGCAGCTTTGCTGAGCTGCACGTCTGTCTTGCTCCTTGTGCCAGCTCCTGGCATCTCCTGGAGCTGATTGACTGGGGAGTGGAGGGTTTCCTCTGTGTTGAAAAGCAGCCAGGTGGTGAAGAGCCACCGCCGGGATTCTCCTACCGCTTGCTCCTAATTACTTGCTTGGCTGAGGTCCAGCGCGCTTCTGCGTTCAGACAAGCTTCATCTGCTGTAATAACCCACCCAAAGCTGATATCAACCCAGTCAGCCAAATGTCTGTGCTATGGCTCTCTGAGGGGGGAAAGGAAAAAGATAAAAAAAAAAAAAAAAAAAAAGATTCCCAAGATTTTTACCTAAAAATATTGGTGTATTGGGTATTGCTGTGGAACGAATATAGATTTGTGGTCTTTCTCTTAATTTTCTGTCTGAAAAATTGGTATCTGAAGATAACTGAAATCAAAATTCCTGCAGGAACTGTTTACTGTTTATCATTAATAATGAATGAGCGTGATAATTAAAAAACTCTAAGCTGTAAATTAATTCCAGAGTGGAATTTCTGCTTTTACATGCAAGTGATTAGAGCAAACTTACACTTTGAAGCAGTAAAGTGTAGCAGCAAATTAAGCTGGTTTGATTTTTGTTCACTTGAACTGTGTATTCATTTCAGCTGTATATTCATTTGTTCAGTATTGCTACTATTGCTTTCTCTTTAGTTCTGCTTGCTGGCCTTTAGCTGAGATTAAAGTGTTTAATTTCTGCTTGTGGAAAAAAAAATAGCGCGTCAATATTATAGCAATCAGCTCAAATACCACGTATGTCGAATCTTCTTTCTCCCCTAATTACTGCCATCTCTGTGCAGCAGCGGGAGAAACAAGCTCTTGTGCTCTTTGCAGGGGGTGTCGCAGTGAGGAAGCAGTCCCGTCACCGAGTCATCATCCAGCTCCCCGCCAACGGTGGCCGAGAGTGCCCGGACTCCTTGTTTGAGGAAAAGGACTGTGAAACTTCTCCTGTCTGCTATAACTACAGGTAGTGTTAATCAACAGCTAACAATTAATTTCCAGGATAAATCTTCTCTAGCAACTGTATTGACATACTATACAATTTTTAAAAAAAATAAATAAACAAATCTTTCTTTCTAAATTGTACAAAGCACTGAAAGTCAGCCTAATCTGAGAGCTGAGCTCTGCTGCCACCCTGGGCTATGCACAGCCTCTTCTGTCTTTCATAGAATCCTAGACTGGCCTAGGCTGGAAGGGACCTTAGAGATCATCTAGTCCAACCTCCCTGTCACGGGCAGGGACGCCTCTCAACTAGATCAGGCTACTCAAGGCTCTGTCCAACCTGGCCTTGAACACCTCCAGGGAGGGGGCAGCCACAACATCTCTGGGCAATTTATTCCAAAGTCTTGCTGCCCTCGTACTGAAGAATTTCTTCCTAAGGTCCAATCTAAATCTATTCTCCTTCAACTTAAACCCATTTCCCCTTGTCCTATCAGTGGACACTCTTGTAAAAAGTCCCTCCCCAGCCTTCCTGTAGGTTCCCTTCAGGTATCGGAAGGCAGCTATTAGGTCCCCCCAAAGTCTTCTCTTTTCCAGACTGAACAATCCCAGCTCCCGCAGCCTGTCCTCATAGCAGAGCTGCTCCAGCCCCTGGATCATCCTTGTGGCCTCCTCTGAACACCCTCCAAGAGATCCATGTCCCTCTTATGGTGGGGACACCAGAACTGGACGCAGTATTCGAGGTGGGGTCTCACAAGAGCAGAGTAAAGAATCACCTCTCTTGACCTGCTGACCACGCTTCTCTTGATACATCCCAGGACGCGGTTGACCTTCAGGGCTGCAGGAGTGCACTGTCAGCCCTGAGACAGTCTGCAGTTGATTATGTCCCCTAATACACAAAATTTCTATGTGATGACCTAATCAGAGAATGCTGAGGAGTGTTCCAACAGGTGGAGATCTCCACTGTAGCTGATTAAGAAAATTTTTGGGACAGTTTTGTAGTAAGTTTAGAAAAATCCAGTGCAGTTGGTTGGATTTACTTGAGAATTTTTTTTTAAAAAAAAAGAAGGATTTTTTTGGTGAATAATAAATGTCCAGCATATTTATTGGAAGCCAATGTTCTGATTCCCCACGTGCTAAATGCCGTGAAACTACTCTCTGTTGCAGACGTACAAGTAGAATTTAAGCTTATTTTAGTGAAGGCAAATTAAGATTAAAGAAATGTGTTGCTTTCATCATCTGCTAAGAATTATCATTGCCAATTCATTAGGAGATCACACGGTATGTAATGGAAAGATATGGAAGTATGTAAAAGAGCATTGCAAAGCCACAGAATCAGTACTCCAAACATCAGAGAAATATAGCTCAAGAACTTCTTCTAGTCAATGCCAGAGTCAATCTTTTAAAATGCTGCTGCTCCGCATCTCTTCAGTATCCAATTTTACCTGAGATAGTGCATGAAGATGTGCTAAAGCAGAAGAAAGTGTTGCCAGGGAGTAGTAGTTGAGGTCACTTAAATTTCATGACACAATCTAACACTAAACAAGTTTTCTGTTTCTTTCCTTTAGCATTTTTCTGACCTATACACACGCTGTGACAGATGGACTCACACACTCAGCTTGGCTCATGCCTTTAGTGCAGATACTGGCCCGGAGAGGCAGGTTGCAATGAAACTCGAGGTGCAAAACTGTTGAGATAATTTTAAACATGAGAGCAGCTGATGGTTTGAGCTGTGGATGTAGCATTCTCTCCCTCCCACTGAGTAATTCAGACAACTGTGGATTATTTCAGAGATGTGACGATAACCAGACTTTCCAGAAATTGTTATTTTTAAGGCCTAGGGTATTCTGCAACACTAGCAATGTGTTCGGTTTGGGGCATCACAGTATAAGAAAGACATCAAGGTGCTGGAGAGAATCCAGAGAAGGGCAACAAAGCTGGAAAAGGGACTCAAAAACAAGTCTTATGAGGAATTGTTTACTCCTGAAGAACAGGAGGCTTAGGGGAGACCTTATCACTCTCTACAGCTGCCTGAAAGAAGGTTGTAGAGAGGTGGGTGTTGGTCTCTTCTCACAAGTTAGGATCGATAGGACAAGAGGGGATGGCCTCGAGTTACACCAGGGGAGACTTACGCTAGACATTAGGAGAAAATTCTACACTGGAAGCGTCATCAAAGGCTGGAACAGACTGCCCAGGAAAGTGGTTGAATCGCCATCCCTGGATGCCTTTAAATGCCATCTAGATGTGGTGCTCAGGGACAGGGTTTAGAAGTGGGCCTGGTAGACTTAGGTAACAGTTGGGCTTGATCTTAAATGCTTTTCTAACCAAAACGATTCTATGATCTATGGTCCTAAGGGAACTTTGTGAAAGTTTCATAGCCATTTATATTAACGGTAGGATAAGTTATGCCTGGGCCCGCATTCACCTGTTGGGTCTCTTGGTTGGCTCCACGTTGTAAGGTGCTGCCATCTCAAGATCCCACATGCTCTGGGGTTGCCCAGATTGTCATTTAAACCTATTGTCCCAGTACTTCCCTGCATCTGGGATTCCTTTTTGCTTCTGATTTCTCCTTTGGGGATAGTATTTGGAAGATGAAGCTTGGCAAAGGAATGTGATTGCTTTGAAAACCTTACCCTTGCCATGATATCATTTGAGATTTGAGACAACAAAACAAAAATTCTAAGACCTTAGCTCCAAGACTTATTTGTGCTTCAAGCAAGGCAGAAATGCTCCATTTGTTGCTATATTACAAGGCATGCCCAAGGGAGGAGAGTGGAAGAGGAAAGAATTAAAAGGGAAAGAAATGCACGCACACCTCTATGTGACAAAAGAGACTCCTAATACTGCATGAATCAGAAAACAGCCCTGGAGTCTTACCTCTGGAATGTATTTGGGAAACTTCAGCACATTCTTCCAGCCCATGCCATTCTATGATTCTATGATCTATGATCTTTGCTTCACTGAGATAGGTAGAAAAAAGAAAGGAAGAAAGGGAAAGTGAGAAAGAGGGGAGATTTAATAGGGCATACTAGTATTTAAAATTCAGCATTACTTAACAAGCCCGTGTTTCTTTTATGAGATGTTAGTGCCACTTCGCTAAATCCACTTTTCAAATTTTAGCATGTTATTTTGTTTGCTGATAAAATACTTTGAGCATGCCCAGATATAAATCCGTAGCAAAGGACTTCTGTTAAATGGGTATTCAAGTCATATAATTCCATTATTTGGTACAGTGTTCTTTTTTGAAATTTCTTCCTCGCATCTTGCATGTTAGTGCTTTGTATTAATGTATAATCCTTATCTTGTGGTTTGTATTCACTGTGCATTTGTTAGGTAGTGTTAATGTACCCTTGTGCTGTGAAATCTTTGAAAGGTTTGATTTCTTTTGCCTCCTTTGCCTCCTCTTTCCTTTCCTGTGTCCTTAATGGCCTCATCCTAAAAGGAGCAAAAAAGTTACCAGGAAAGAAGAAAAAGTTGACAATACTGTTAGTCTTTGGTTTGAGTTGTCTGTGCCCAGTTAGTATTACTAAGCGGTAGCTTACAGTGGTTTCTAAAACTCTCTTAGCACTTCTGCTGCCCCAGTTTTGATGGATTGTTTGGAGTTCATTGCTTCCCCTTAATTTCAGGTGGAAGACTCACAAGTGGCGCAGGTGCCAGCTAGTGCCGTGGTATGTGCGCCAAGACAGTCCAGGAGCACATGAGACTTGTGGACCTGGACTACAAGCAAGAGGTCAGATCCTTTGTTCTGTCATTTATTGCTCAAAAATCTATAGCTCTGCTGGTATGGGAAATGCTGAAAATTGTAGTCACTGTAACCTAACATTAGTTTTATCTATCTTTATTTGTATCAGTGAGGGAAAACACTGAATAGTAGTATGGTAGAATGCATCCTAACTGGTATTTGACAAATGTTTTATTCATAAAATATGAGTGTTAATTTATTCTCAAGTATAGATACCACATTAGTCACTAATCGTATGGTATGTTTGTTCAGTTTCTTTCACCATCTTTGCCTGAAGCAAGTTTGCAGAGATTTTTGTGGAAAATATATCTTCAAGAAGAAGAAAAGAAGAAAGGGATGGGCAACTTCACATGCTTCTTTTTCTGGAAAAGGTTGTGTAAATTAACCTGTCAAAATGTGGCAAGGACGTGGAGACATGTTTATGAGTATATCCATTAAACCAAATATGACTTTTGGTCTCTGTAGGTGTTTGTATGAAAACAGGACTGGAGAACCCTACAATATTTTTGAGCTGGAAGGATGCTCTGGAGATCTCTTGGTCCAACCCTCCGTGCAGAGCAAGGCCAGCAACAAAGTTAGATCCCACCCAGACTAGAGCAAGTTTCTCAGGACCGTGTCTCTACATGTTTGGAGGATCTCCCAGAATGGAGATCCTACAGCCTCTCTCAGCACTTGCTGCAGCACTTGTCCTGTCTAGCACTGTTGGTTTTTTTGCTTTTTCCTAATATCTAAGCTGAAATTTCCCTTGCTGTGTCTGTGACCCTTTATCCTTTTGCTATATATACTCTGAGAAGAGTTTGGCCCTCTCTTCTCTGTACCCTCGAATCAGGTAGTTGTAGAGAGTAATAAGAGCATGATTGATGCCGGACTTGGTGTTTACACTGTTAAAGTTCAAGGCCAGCCCATTCCTGCAGGCTGTCAAGGTCCTCTGAGTGGCAGCCCTACCCCCAGGTGTTGACTGCTCCTCTCAAACTGATGTTGTCTCCAAACTTGCTGAGGATGATTTCTGTACAGGTTGTTGAAGATGCTAAATGGAACCAGCCCTGCAATAACCACTGAGGTGCAGTACTCTTAACCAGCTGCCTGCTAGACTTCAAAACCACTGACGCTTCAAGCCCAATGACCCACATGTTTTTCCACCATTTTCATTTAATAGGAAATAATTTTTTCCATCCAAAATCCAGCTTTACTGTTACCTGTCTTCACAGAGAATTTTATGATGCATAGGTGCATTTACAACATTGACTATGAAAATAATTGCATTTCCTACTTACTGTGCTACAATGACTGGATTGCTGTGAACTACTCGTCAACCTTGGATTCCAGGAGGTGTTTTTTTTCTTTGCTTTTCTGAGTGCAAACTCCTACCTGTTAAAAAAATATTGCCTCAGCAGATTGTGGAATTCCTGAGCAAGGACACTGCTCACTGCAGAAGTGAAATGCTCAGGTCATTAACTTCCTTGCAGTATTAGAGAAGTTATGATAGACTTAAAGTCATAGAGTAAATCTTAAGCTCGTAGCCCCTACCACTGACTCAGAAAGCGTTACAGGAGAACAATTTAGGGCTTACAACAAAATGATACCTGCAGGTATTGCCTGCTAATACAAAAGACTTCTAACCGTGCTAGTTCTTTTGAAGGACCTTAACTAATGCAATCTATTTGTAGCAGCTCTGGAGGGTACATTCAGATTACACACTGAGAAAATAAGATTTCTGTCTTTGACAGTAGGAGTTCAGATAGTACAAAATGTTGTCTTTTGTACTTGTGCGCTACCTAAATCTCTTAACTTTGCCTCAAAGTCAGCCAATAAAGATAGCTAACTGTAGGGCATGCAAATTGATTTTTATTATTCTTCTGTGTCATGATAATTTTGTGGGTTTGGTGGTGGTGTTTTTTTTAACTCCAGTCGTGCAGTGCACACACGTATGGATCTATGCACAGTTTTGGAATTACTGGGCATAGCATTTTCAAATCTGGTAAACCAGACTGGCATGACTTCTCCCTGGTTACAGAGTTTGATCTTGGAAAGGACGATGTATTCAATCAGTAGTCTTGTTCCTGCAAGCAGATATAATAGAAGTAGCTCTAGTGTAATGTGGTCAAGTGGTAGGATGAGCAATTGTTAATTAAGAACCCCAGGGACAACGAAACCTGAAGAAAGAAAATGCTTTTTGGTAGAATTCTGTAAATTTTTTTCTGAGATTAGCTGTTAGGAAAGGAAGATTTTTGTTTGCTCCTGCTTTTTACGAAGTCTATCCAATGTATCAGTTTTACTGTAGAGTTTTCAGAGGAAGTTAAATTTAAGTTGGATAACGAAAGATTATTTCTGCCTTAGTCCAATACCTCACAATGTGTTAAATATATCTTTTAGTTTTGTGTGTCAGTAATATAAACTGATATTCTGTTGAGCTAATGTTAAATATATCTTTTAGTTTTGTGCTCAGTAATATAAACTGATATTCTGTTGAGCTAAATAAATTAGTACAGCTTTTATTTAGATTGAGAAAAGTAAAATATTTTCTGTTTTCTTGAACAACTTTGCAATAAATACAACATGGAGGTAAAAGCTGGATTTTTGCACAAAGGTAACTTTCGCTTTGGAAAACATACTTCTGCAATTTTAGACTATCAGTTGAAGTTTTATTTACTTTGCACCTCAGAAAATTGCATTCTGAATATGGATAGTGTGTTTTATTTGTGATATATAGGTTATGTCCTACACAGGGTATTATCATATCCTCTTCCCTTGGTTACTTTTCAAATTCTGCCATGAAAACAGCCATGTGTGAATTTTCAGAGCTGCATGGTCTCCTGCACAAGAGTTGATTTCATGCAAGGTGCTCGCTGAAGGGAGGCTGACCTGAAAGCAAGGATCTTCCTGACTGAGCTCTGCCCTGAACAATACTAGAAAGATTTCACCAGTTTGTGAAGGAAGACTGTGGGAGAGTTTTATCCCCTCTCCCTGATAATTCCTGGTTCCCTCCTGCATACTTGGTTTCTCATAAGTAAAGTTTCTACAGGCAGTCAAAAACTGGGCATGATAATATGTTATTTAAAATTCTGTATTATAAATAATTTATTTAAATATTATTTTGTGGCATAGATGCATTAAAGACTGAGCTACTACTGTGGAAGTCCTTTTAACCACTCCAAACCCAGGAATGCTAACCACTGAAATATGAAATCCATTTGGTATAACATTCTGATACTGCATTTATAAAGTGGTACCAGAATACAGATATTTTGAACAGTACGTTAAATGTTGGTGATTTCTGTACAAATGCTTACCATACTGTGAGTTTTAGATATAACAGCATTTTTTATTTTCAACTGGAAGAGTTCTCTCTCAAATTTCTGATGCTCGTGAATGCAGAAACCACACAATCATTCATTTGTGGTAATTTACTTTTGATGACGAAGAGAAAGAATAATCTCATAGAAGCTATCTCAGCCTCTTGGTTTCCTGTGGATTGTTGATACTCAGTAATGTCATTCCTGTATGTGGGAACAGTTCTGGGTTCCTCTTTTTCAGTGCAAGGGGATGTTGCCAGTTATTAATTTGTCCTGTTTCTGATCTGGTTGCCTACACAAAAACACTCAATCACGTAACACATCAGCAAGTGTGTTAAATAAGAAAGAATAGGAATGTACATCAGGCAGAAGGCACATCTGACTATGCATTCATTAGCAGTTTGCCTTGAACAAAATAGTTGTTACTGTTCATATTTTAGTTAGAAAGGTGTTTAAATCTGAAGGAAAAACTAAGTTAGAAATCATTAAAAATGACTGCTTAGGCATCTGATCTTAAGAGTCTATGAGTAACTAGAGTATTTGCATATCTTGCTTTATATCACAGCTTTACTGTTTGCATTTCAATTCTTCAGCTTTTTTGCCTCATTCGTCTTCCTTGGCAGAATTGATACTTGGGTGAATCATAAAGTTTAGAACTGTGATTCATTGTTTAAGACAGCTCTGTTTCTGTCTGTCCTGTATAATGAAGGTTTTGTTACAAATCACGTCAGTTTAAATGAACATGTCACAAAATTTGAACTTGTGTCAGTGCAAGGAAAAGAGAATAAAATATTTCGATGGTTTGGGGGTTTTGTTTTAAGAAAAAAAATCTTTACAGTTTTTTAAAGAAAAGTGTTTGTTAATTATTCATGCAAATGATGGGCAGGTGTTTACGTCTAAACCTAGACATAGTAACATAGCATTTAATACCTGAGCAGCAAGTGTATTGTTGTAGTCATGAACCTTATTTGAACAAGTCATGACAATCATGTTGAATTTCGGTGTTGAATTTCTATGATAAATGAAATTTTGCAGTCGTATCACTGGAGAAATGCCTTTTAACAGTGGATAAGGAGGGCAAGAGTGTATTAGAGAATTACAGTAACTTAAGACTTCTAGCTGTCTTTTATTTAAAACCTTCAAGAGGATATTATGGGTTCATCAATGAGGAGGTTGTAACTTCCTTTTGATCCTACCCAACAAGAACAGGAAGTATAGACAAAAGCTATATTCTACTGCAACAGCATTTATGTTGTGTTTATTTTCATGAGCTGGTTCTCAATGAACAGAAGTAAATTGCCCAGATGTCTTGATGAGTCAACCTGAAACCCACAAAGGAGAGGCACAGAACGTTGGCAAATACAAAACATCCTCCTAAAGGACAAAAACTAAAACAAGAGAGTAAATGCTTGATAAAGCTGATAAATGCTTGATAAAACTCACTGTGAGAGGGACCTGCTCCAGCTAGGGTGTGCTAAGAAATACTACTTTGTATTTTGAAGGCTGAGATTTATTAACTCATAACTCCAAAGTAGGGATCTTCTACTTAATGTTTGATTAATCTATTAAGTTTGAAACTAAACAATGTAAGCACGTATTATGCTCTTGTCCTAAAAAATCTGTGTCAGTCAGCCTCAGCTCCAGTGGCAGTTCAAATTGCTTTTGGATTTTATAGGAAAGCCTAGGAATCTTAATAAAAATGCTTCTTTTGCCAGTAGCTTCTGCAGATTTAAGTAGGACTTGTTGGACTGCATTCCCATGCTAGTGAAGAGGACATGTAGCAGATGAGAAGTGTGAGTGCCCACCTGCAGTAGCCTAATCCCATCACGTGTGTGGGTGTATGCACATAGAATCATAGAATCATAGAGTGGCCTAGGCTGGAAGGGACCTTAGAGATCATCTAGTCCAACCTCCCTGTCATGGGCAGGGACGCCTCTCAACTAGATCAGGCTACTCAAGGCTCCGTCCAACTTGGCCTTGAACACCTCCAGGGAGGGGGCAGCCACATCTCTGGTAAGGGCTATCCCAGTGACCGAAAAGAGATTTGCCAAAGGATGCACAGCCTGCAGTCCTTGCCACCATACATCTTTTTCAGAGTTTTGGAGGAGGAATGGGATGAAAATTGTGAAATCTTGTCAGTGTGTTCTGTAATAGCAAGAGGAAGGTTATTTGTAAAACTTAAGCAGAAACTAAGTGACCTGGACAGGGAGGTTGGATTAAATGATCTCTAAGGTCCCTTCCAACCTAGGCCATTCTATGATTCTATGAGTCATTTGCAGGGTGTATGTAGAGATACTTGAAAAACAGTGGAGCAGGGGGATCAGAGGAAGCTTCTGAGGATGGCCACGAGTGCCAGAGGAGGCTTCTCTGAGCCACAGGGAAGCTTGGAGGCAGAACTCAGGGTCAAAAGCCCTTTCTTTTCACTGTGGCCAAGCAGCGACAGCAGCTTCCCTCTCTGGGAATTGCTTACAGGAGCAGAGGGGGGCATTTGCTCTTGTGGGAGGTCTTGAAAGCACAAGAAAGGAGACAAAGTAATGAAAGAACTCTGCTCCTTCACGGAGATATAAAAGTACTATTTTAACGCAGTCAAAACTTAACAGGTGAGTGTCCTACTGCCTGGTTCATATTTTAGTCACTGCAAGGGACAATGGGCAGCTTCAGGTTTTGTACTGAAGTAAGAATTTGGACAAGAGTGCTCAAGAGAAGAATTTACGTAAGAAATTGATAATTTTATTGGCAAAACAAGAGCCAGAATCTTGAGACAAGTTGATTCAGCAGAAGCACATTGTTATTCTCTTTGGCATGTAGGGAACGCTCAGGCTTGTATTTTCATGGTATTATTAGCAGGTGCTTCTGCTTAAAGTACGTTGTGATAGAAACATTTTTTGTGCAGTTTCTAGTCTGCTGTGTCCCACAGAAAAAGAAATAATCATAGATTAATTCATCATCAGGGCGGCATTGATAATAGGAATAAGAAAAGTTAGCATGCTGAAGTAATTCTTCCCTTTCTAGAAATGAAACTGAATATTTTTTTGGTGTAAAAAAGTAATTAACACTTGAAAAAAAGCAGTATCACAATTGTGTTGCAAAACAAAGGGCATAGAATGTGTTCATTTATAAAATATATTACTAGGTCTAGGAGTCACTGAATCCCAGATCTCAGTGAAATCTCAGTGAAGTACTAATGATGGTAATACTGGCAAGGTTTTTGTATAAGCCCACACATAACAAGACTTGTTAAAATACTGTCTTAGTGTTTTGTTATGCCAACAACAAATTTATTAGCCTGTAGTCCCCTGTGGCTTGATGGAAACAATGCAATCAGATGAAGTTTTAATTACATCAAAGTCCCTTGTCTAGAAAATGCAGACTCTCATTTATGTCACACCTTTCTTCTGGGAGACAATAATTGTTAAATATCAAAACAATTTTGTAAGTGAATAGTTTCCTCATTAAATTTGTTATTTCTTTTAGCTGTACTCCTGCTTTATGTTTTCACTTAGCAATTACTTCGTCTTAATTCAGTAGTAGGAGAACCACGCTCTTTCCATTTACTGCTAGTGTGGTTGTAATAAATATAATGTGGTTGTATAGGCAAAATAATTTGTCTGCAACTGCATGGTTTTATAGTAGTTGAAGACACTTCTCTGTGAGTCAGTCATCAATTTCAGTGGCTTTTTCAGAATATAATTAAAGAAACATGGGTTTGATCAGAAAGGCAGAGGATGAGTTTGCTCAGATCAGGCTGTGAGTGGAAAAAGTAACTCCACATTTCAGATGTCAAGTAAGACATTTAACTGACCAAAATAATGTAGTAATGAAATGTATACAGTTGTTAAAATCCTTGCTTTAAGTAATGGAAAAATAGTCTTCAACAGTCACAAGGAGTATAAGCCTCTCAAATTTGATACTTGAATCTGTAGAATAACAATAGGAAAATGGGATGTAGAGCAGATCGTTCGAGTATTGGCAACTAGAATTAACAGGAATAGTTACAGACAGACACTGTGAAAATTCAGATTCAGGAACTGATTTAGTATGCCAAGTTGTCCTCTAATTTATGTTATTCAAATGAAACATTTAGGTCTCAAGAATGAATGAGTTTTCCTGCCTTGATTGCTACAGTACAACTGACAGTTAGTCTGGGAAAAAAAACAAAGTGTTAATCCTCTGGGGAGCTTCTCACCTGAGTCTGCTTGATGTAGATTAGATGCAGTAATACAAGCCTGGAAAAATTTTTGACGAAGCAGCTCTCTGCCCATAGTGTAATGCTTAATAACCAAGAAAGATGAGGGAATGAATATTGGCTTTAGAAGAACTCAGTTTAGCTAGAAAGAAAGATTGTTCTTCTATGGACAATGTTTATGGCTTATCAAAGGACTAAATGGAGAGGCAGTATCTAAAATGGTTATTAAACTTTTGAAGAAGGTTATTAGAAGTTGTTGGCTTAATCAGTGGACCATCTTTTAGCCCTTGGCTACGTATACTTTTCAGTGTTAAAAATGGTGGCCTATATCTCCTTGAGAACACAGCGAAGATAATGCAATTAGTTTTCCCGATGCATGCGCATGCCAAGGTCAAACTCAAGGTAGAGGATTTAGGTCTGACCTCTGTGGGTTTCCACGTGGTAAAATTAGTGTGAACTGTGCTTGTACTTTGGGGAAACCAGTGTGTGGTACTAGCAGAGAAGAACATCTCAAAAGAATCCAAAACCATAGCTTGGGCTTATGTTGGAAGATACTGGCTTGATTTGTGTTTTCCCAAAATATTTGTGTCATTTTAGAAAGCCCACAGTAGGTACAGTTAACATGTCTTTCAAATAGCTGTTGTATGGATTTTCAATTTTTAGATATTTGATTTTGCTTATTGAATGACTATAATTATATCTGAAGGAAAAAAAAAAGAGGTTTCCTCATGTAATCTACACCAATAATAATAGGGTTTGACAGAATAATTATATTAGACAATGTGCAGCTGGTTGGTCCCCCAATAAGCACAACTTAATGCAGTGCTGAGCCTTTTACAAGCGGTGCTGGAAGCCCCGCTTCAGAAGGCAGTCAAGGATCAGGGAGCTTGTTTACTTTTCATCTCTGGAAAAACCACCCTCCTCCCTTTCATAGTTTTACGACAGACGTGTGGCAAAACCAATTCACTTGGACCCTTTGGTTGTATGTTAGTAGGCTTGCGGGCTTGAAGAGAATCATGTCGGTCATCAAGTTCAGCTTCCCAGAGTCATCATGAGGGTAGAAATTTAGTTTAGAGCTATCAGAATAAAAGATTTTTTCAGAAATCCTACGTCACTGAACCTGTATAATTACCTCACCGTAACATAAAAAAAAAATTTCCTCAGTTTTTCTTCCTTTTTCTTCCAGGACGAAGCCATTACTCATAGCCAGTTTTCCGTTTTGTTTTGAAACTTTGCATTCAAGCCCCATTTTCCTCTAGCAGTTGAACCTGATTATGCCATAATAGTTTGGTTAATAAAATTTACATTTTTTTTCAATTTGCATACCAGTAAAACAATTATTGTCAGTACAATTGAAGTGCTATGCCTAAGTTATGGAGTGGAGTGTAATATAAAACATGATATTCCCTCGTATGTGTACAGAATGATAAATTGGGTTCAAATGCAATGTTACTGCAACAATTGGTGACCCAAATTACTTTCACAGTCGTTATGAGATACCGCATGTACTGTGTGCTGTCAGATAAAGATAATTCCGTTGTGTTGTCCTGGTTTGAGCTAAACAGAACCACTGTACGTTTTCAATCCTGTTACTGCGTATCAAGTTTTATGTTGTTTTGGGCAAAGAAATAAAGTTAGATTTACTGAGGCTTAGATTAGAATAATACATAAGCAACCGTGTTAAAAGAAAATAAGCCGTGAGAAACAATAATAGAGCATTGTTAAGGACTGTATTGATGAAACAGCCCTATTCTTTGTAAATCCTTATGTTCCAACTGCTTCTTTTTGTGCCACCTGAAGTTTTCTTACAAAACTTTTTTTCACTTACAAGTAAGAAACTTTTATTCAGGACATGGCTATCTTGTTATTAAAAGTTTTAGCCCCATTTGGCTGATATGCCACCCCTAGCAAGCACGATTTCTGCTTCAACCCTTTGCAGAGACTCAAAATCGCTGAAGAACATCGGACAGCAATACTGCTCTGCATGGTTAAATGGTATCCAGAACTTAAATATATGTCAACATTTTATGTCCATCCATTTATCAAAAATACAGGCTGCTGATAAAACTTATAGTTTATTCGCTATTCAGCTACTTAAAATAGTATTGCAATTTTTTGTCATGTCTGAGTTACAGGTTGTAGGAAAAATGGTAATGTGAAAAGTAGTGTAACAGGTGTGGATAAAATGATGCAACCTTTACAGTATTTACGGTTATCTGTAAGATTGTATTTTTTTCCTGACAAGTCCTGATAAACAGTAAACTAAATAGATTCTCAGAAACAGGCAGAAATGTCAAATATATTCATTCAAAGTAGAACTGATTGCACATATTAGGTTGTTAAATAGCTATTCCGGGCTTTCAGTGTGATTTTGTGGTAGAATATTGTAGACTTACTTAATTGAATAGAGACATTCGTGAAAAAAATGCTGAATTAAACGCCATCCCTTTCTGCTTCCAGCAATTACTTGTCGCAGACAAGACGGAGGACAGGCTGACATCAGTGAGTGCCTTAAATACTCTGGCCCGTTACCACCGTTAACACAGACGTGCCAGATTCCCTGCCAAGATGACTGTCAGTTTACAAACTGGTCAAAGTTTTCTTCCTGTAATGGGGACTGTGGAGGAGTACGGACAAGGAAACGCACTCTTGTCGGTAAGGGTAACAAGAAAAATAATGCGTCTTTTATTAGTTATTGCTGCTGTTTTCATTAAAACCTACATTGTTCTGATATTCCCTTATGACAAGGAAGCGACGTTTGTGGTTGTGGCAGAAATCAGATCCAATGTCCCTGTCGTGCTCTGTATATTGTTGGTGGAAAGAAAACCTAACGCTTCAGAAGAACAAACTTCTGTCGTATGTCTCAGACACGATCGTGGGGAGTTGGCAAGGGGGAAGATGGGAGAACATGGGAGGCCGAGGTGTCTTCTAAATGGAATGCACATAATAAACTGCAAAGCAGACCATTTCTTTTCCTGGAAGGTGACTCAGCATTGTCTGTAGTTCCAAGGAGGTGAAAAATGTAAAGCACAGAATCATAGAATGTCTTAGGTTGGAAGGGACCTTAGAGATCATCTAATCCAAGCTCCCTGCCATGGGGAGGTTGCTCAGGGCCTCAAGCAGAATAATTAACCAACAAACCTGATCATGTCTGAAAAAGTAAAATACAAAAAATCTTTACCTACATTTTTGTTGAGCCCTGTGCTATCTTTTCACAACAAGGGGCCCAATTGTTTGCTATTTCAAAGGTTTTCATACCGTATTTATTCCAAACTCAGATTCTGTACACTGCTTCCATGCACAAATAGGTCAGGAAGGTTTTTGGTTTATCATTTGTACAGAATTATGTCCTCGAGATTTTCTGTTAGTGTTAAACATTTAACAAATTCAAGAGACAAACCTTTGAGGTTACACTCTCAAGCAATTTGTCTGAGTTACAGGTAAAAATATGAGAATTTTTCCTCTAAATTTTTTTTTTCGCTTAAACTCATTTTACCGATAGTTTTCAGGCAAATGTTGAACAATTTAGTGAATGTTGAAAAGCATATAATTCACAAACACTAACTGATTGGCTTAGTGTTGTAAAAAACCAAAGACTTTGGGGTCTTCAACATAATGTAGGTAGCATGAGGCACTCAGAGAAGTCCTGGGTAGGAAATCTCCTCTCCACGTTGCTCTCAAATCACTTTCAGTCCCAAATAAGATTAAACAAGTTTAATTCTACTAAGACAAGAAACTATATATAGAAAACGGATAGTGGAAAACAGCAGCCACAGACCTGTTAATTATTTGAGTTTTCTTGATTTTTGTGTGTATTCCCAGCTAAGTTTGTGGAGCAGGTCTGCAGTTTCTTTTGATTCCGTGCACAAGCTCTGTCTTGCCAGCACCATCTAACCACCCTGAGTTCTCACCAGATTGAATGGGGTCTCTCTTCTTTGCTTTTGGGTTTTTTTCACGTTGAACTGTAGTTGAGAAAAAAAAAATCTGGTTGAACTTCCCCTGGGGCTTTCAATAGAAAACCTAGTTAAAGTGGATTTTATTATTTTATTTTTTAGAAATTGGTGACACACCAATCAATGACTTTATCTCCTTTATAGGAACTCCCTTGCGTTCCGCTTCCTACTTCTGGTCTTGCCTACACCAGGACTTCCCTCTCAGATGGTGTTTTGTTGCATTTAGAATTACTGCAGCAGCTGAAGGCTTTTCAGCCTCTAGCTCAAGTTCATTATTTCGAGCCTTAAGCTTCGGTTTACCTCTTTTGAACTTCTTAGTGCAGTCTTGAATGTCAGATTTATGATCAAGCCAGTCCTTTCCCTGGCTGAATTTTTGCTCTCCAAGTTGGGTTTTCCAGTCTTTCACTGCCTTCCTTCAGCAGCTTAGATCACCTCATAAGGTGATATGTTGCTTAATTTTATGCCTTATTTTGTGACACAACTAAGAATGCTCTTTCTTTGTGTGCCTTGAAACCTCGTGATGTTTTATTTAACGGAATAAAAAGCTTTCCGGACATGTCTGACCTGTTGCCACAAACTTTTCCTTCTTCCATGTGATGGACACATTGAAACATTTTTTTTCCTTCAACTTCATTTTAATCTGTTTGTTTCTACTACTTCTGCATGAAATGAAGAAAATACTTCTAAATTATAACCAAAATCCCAAGAGTGAGACTTGGCCTCTGTCACAGCAGTTTTTGCCAATTATTCTGTATTGTCTGTGGTGGAGGAAAGCTAAGGGGGGTGCTCATTAGCAGCCTCAGGAAAAGCGTGATAGGATCCAAACGTTGTTCCCCTCTCCATCCCCTGGTAAATCAGACCACCTGTGGACAATGAATAATTCATAATCTTCAAGAGGATACTGTGACTGTCTTAATTCCAGTGAACTTTAAACCATGTTTCATTCCACAAGTGAAAAAAACCTGAGTAGCAATTTATTTTTATTTTAAAAACAAAGCAAGAAAGAACAGATTCTCTATTAACACTTTGAGATACTTCCCTATCCTGAGTTAAGCTACCCCTTCAAATTTGCTAAGACTTTGTTATGTGCTGTGGTATATTCTCTGTGGCAATGTGTAAAGCTGACTTGGACTGAATTTATAATTATTTATGGTGAAAGCAAGGAGGAGGAGAAGTGTCTTTTTAGTATGAATTTGTGTTTTCAAAAGAAAGATAAACTTTTCTTCAGAGACTTTCTTCTGTTCTAAGTGAAGGCAAGTAGTGAATACAAGCACTAAGGATGCTACACCATTGTGTCCAGTGCCTTGTTTTGAATAGCAAGGAAGATACTACAGAATGTTAATTTACAATAGTATTTAAGTAACAAGCATTTTTTAAACTATTTTTGCAAGTCTTCTATATTAATATTTAGGAAAATTGAGCAAACTTTACCAAAGAGCAGACTAGAAATAGATTTAATGGGAAGTGGAAAGTGAGTGGATGGCTATGCTCCAGACGAGGAAGGAAAATGAGAGGAGATTTGAAAAGGAATAAAGTCACAGAAGTATCTTATTCTATTAGAGGGGAAGAATAGTAATTATTAAGAAATGTACAACAACAAGTGATGAAACTAAAGGGATTTGACATTTTGAAAGAAGGTACTACTGTACTGACAATGCATATTACTTCCTTCTGCGATTTCCTTCAACTTGAGTAAGTTTTATCCAGAGACTTTTTTTTCATTAGACTGCACGCTGCTGATCAAATAGGAAGAAAAGGGTATATTTGTTTAATTGGTAACTTTTTCAAACTATACTCCCCAGGCACTTGTGTCCAAGGTAAATATAAATATATGACTCTGTTTCAAAAGATGTTTCCTATTTGCAAATTGTAGGCATCCATTATTCAAGAAATTTAAGTTGTTAAAGTAAATGAATAAAGATTAGCGCAACCAGTTTTTAGGCGTATGTATTGGACTGCAAACACTTGTTACGGAATGAAATTTTTTGGGGAGATGTAAATTGATATGAACTTTCTAAAATAATTGTTCTTTCTTCCTAGGAAAAAGTAAGAAAAAGGATAAATGCAGAAATTCTCAGTTGTATCCTCTAATTGAGAATCAATTTTGTCCGTGTGACAAGTACAGTGCTCAGCCTGTGGGAAACTGGTCGGACTGTATTTTGCCAGAGGGGAAGCTGGAAGTATCGCTGGGGATGAAGGTTCAAGGAGATGCTAAGGAGTGTGGACAAGGCTACCGGTACCAGGCCATGGCGTGCTATGACCAAAACAATCGGCTTGTGGAAACATCACGATGCAACAGTCATGGTATTTGGAAACTTTTTTCTTTCATCTGGTTGCTTATTTCCTTGTTTCCTTATTACCATAATATGCGTACAGGTAGAATTAGCAGATTAATATTTATTACTTAGGCTGCAATTTATCCCAAGATACCTTCAAACCCAGCACACACTTTTGCTGACTCAAAAAATAGTAAAATTAATTTTCACTGCTTACTGCATTTCCATATTTAAAAGGAACATCATGGTAAATCACTAACTAGATATTTAAATAGATAAAAGCAAAATCTTGTTTTTTCCAATGACTCTACCTGCAAATTTGAAAATAAAGCCGTTTAGAAGGGTCAGGTCCTCAGATAAATGGGGACAGCACGGAACTATTTTGGAAAAGCTGAAATTATTCCCCCAGATTCTTTAGATGGCGTTAATCTCCTTACATAGCTTTATCTCTACCATTTCTCTTCAGCACCTTAGCAGACATGCATTAGCCTGCATTCAACAGCACACACACTTCCTCTGTGTACTTCTGTCGTGTGTAAAACCAGGATGTTTAAAGACTCTTTGTATTCTTTGTATTCAAATAACTCCTGGAGGGAGCACCATTCCTTCCTAAAGTGGATGCATCCATAGTGTTAGGATCAAAACTAACATTTTCTGATTTTCAGTGAGACAGAAATGTGCTAACTTACATCACTGGAGATTTAAGTTTGTTTGTTTTCATGCTTGCTGTTCAAATTTATATCTGAGGAATTGGTATGAAAAGCTGGGTATTAGTCTCAGTGCCGCTAAAGGGTCAATGCATGTTTAATTTGTATATGTATTCTACTTTCTAATGTTAAATTAAGATAACAGGAATTTCATTTATCTACTTGGATAAAGTTAAAATAGCTGATCAAAGAAATTAAATTACTTAAGGAGATTTCAATTAGCACTATTAATTCCTGTTTAGAGCTGTGATAAATTAGAAGCAGAATATATCAAGTCAAGCTGTGATACAGCTTTGTGATTTAATCGAAAAGTGAGCGTTGGGCTTAATACCTCAAAGCAAACCTGGAAGATAATTTTGTGAAGTATTTTCTCCCCTGCTCATTTTTATTCAAAATCATCTTTTGTTGTAGTTAGCATATACTGATAGATAAGTTTGAATGAATACATCGGAATGACAAAGTCTAAATCCTAAATTCTCATGGAACAGGAGCTCTCTACTCTGAGAATGTTCTTTAAATCTCTTCTCATGCTACACTCGCTTAGCCTGACCAGGACCACTTGCCATCTTGGTGTCACAGAATCACACACAGAATCATAGAACAATTCAGGTTGGAAAAGACCCTTGGGATCATGGAGTCCAACCATTGACCCTACACTACAAGGTGTAAACCAGATCACCCAACACCACATCTAAACGACACTTGAACACATCCAGGGATGGCGACTCAACCCCCTCCCTAAGCAGTCTGTTCCAGTGTCTGACCACTCTTTCTGTGAAGAATTTCTTCCTAATGTCCAGCCTAAACTTGCCCTGTTGCAACTTGCAACCATTCCCCCTGGTTCTGTCCCTAATTACCTGTGAGAAGAGACCAGCACCAACCTCTCTACAATGTCCTTTCAAGTAATTGTAGGGCATGATGAGGTCCCCCCTCAGCCTCCTTCTTCGTCAAACCATCTTTTGGTAGTACCAAAAGGTGCAGCTACCTCTGATGACCATCAACTGTGTGAGCACAGATCTGCCTGGGCTGCATAGCTGTCCTAAGGGAATTACAAAGCCCCTCAGAAAGCTGGTAGGGGACACTGTAGGGAGCCATGGAACAATCTGAATTTTTCAGAAGACACCGGTATAAAATACAGAACTGAAACATTTTCCTCTTTCTTTGTTGATATTTTAAAAAACTTAACTATATGCAACACTATGTTAAAAATTAGTATTCGTTCAGCATTAAGTCCAGAGTGACTTTTGAAAAAAGGAAAGCTGTAAAAGAACTTAAGTCCATGGGAAGCCAGAGGGACTGATAGCCTGCTGCCAGCCAGTTTTCGTTTCATTGAAGAATGGGGACTGTCAGGTTTTGTGTCAAAAGCCAAGGAAAGACACATGAAGGAGGAAGCTGTCTGTGCAAGAGCAAGCTGCAGGTGTTGCATGTGGTAGATAACGTGCTGCTTGAAGCAGCTTGCAAAAAGAGGTGGGAACTGTTCCTTTGGGTAGGACAAGGATGGATGTAGCTGCTTTCAAGCCCTAGCAGTGCATGCTGAGGTGCGATCCCATTGCAAGAATCAGAGAGATATAAAAGAGGAATTAAAAAATGGAAGAAAAGAATATTCTCAGCCATATTTGTTTAACCTCTTATAACTCTTCATGACAGAAATTTCTAATCTAATGGATTTGATCAGTGAATGTCACCTATACTCATAGTGACCACAACGAGTAATAATCCAGTGGAAAAGCTATTAACAGTATATTGTTATTTACCTACTATAACCAGGGCTAACATTTACATGCTATTAGCCCTAGCAGGCTCCAGAGACAACCTTCCCAAAACACATTACAGCATTGCTTTAGTTTATTTTTAGTTCCTACTGTTTCATCCCAGTACAGATCCCATCTCCATCACAGGAGATCTGAAGTCTCTTTTTACTCTCTGTAAACTAACTGGAAATGTTTGTGAGCCATTAGTATATTTCTTGTAGGTTGGGAAGCCTGAACCCCTTTGTTTTTTGGGATTGTTCTGTTTGAATTCTTTCTCTCTAGATCAGTTTATTAAGGTGTCTCATTCTTTTTTCTTTTTTTCCCCCCCTCTGTCATTACTTGTTTTTGATAGTGAAGCACAAAGCATCTGTGATTTTCTCATAAGTTCTGTTAGAGGGAGAGAGTACCTTTATCTTGCTCCATAGTGTGGTGCATGTGAAGCTTGGAATTGCTGTTGAACTAATCCCCCATTGCTTGCCCTTCCTAAAATTGTTTGATAGGATTTTCAATTTTGATTGTGGTCAATGGGACAGTCCAGTTGGAGGCTTGTATCTAGCAGAGTACCTCAGATGTTGGTACTGGGACCAAGACTATTCAATATATTCATCAATGACCTGGATGAGGGAACAGAGTGCCCTGTCCACAAGTTTGCTGATGACAGAAAACGGGGAGCAGTGGCTGACACCCCAGCAGGCTGTGCTGCCATCCAGGGAGACCTGGACAGGCTGGAGAGTTGGGTGGGGAGGAATTTTACGAAACACAGCAAGGGCAAGTGCAGAGTTTTGCACCTGGGAAAGAACAACCCCATGTGCCAGTACAGGTTGGGGACTGACCTGCTGCAGAGCAGCGCAGGGGAAAGGGACCTGGGGGTGCTGGTGGGCAGCAGGATGGCCATGAGCCAGCAGTGTGCCCTCGTGGCCAAGAAGGCCAATGGCTTCCTGGGGTGTATTAGAAGGGAGGTGGCTGTTAGAAGGGGGTTCCCCTCCCCCTCTACTCTGCCCTGGTGAGGCCACATCTGGAATCTTGTGTCCAGTTCTGGACCCCTCAGCTCCAGAGAGACAGGGAACTGCTGGAGAGAGTCCAGCGCAGCCCCAGGGATGATGAAGGGATGGAACATCTTCCTTATGAGGAAAGGCTGAAGGAGCTGGGGCTCTTCAAGGGACAAGGAGCAATGGGTACAAGCTGGAGCATAGGAGGTTCCACAAAAACATGTGGAGAAACTTCTTCCTTTTGAGGGTGCCGGAGCCCTGGCCCAGGCTGCCCAGAGAGGGTGTGGAGTCTCCTGCTCTGGAGACTTTCCAACCCGCCTGGACGCGTTCCTGTGGGGCTGCCCTGGGTGACCCTGCTCTGGCAGGGCGTTGCACTGGGGGATCTTTCAAGGTCCCTTCCAACCCGGAACATTCTGTGATTCCATGTGATTTCAGGTTTACAGGGAATGAGGTATCGAACCTGAATTTGATAGTGAAGAATTCAGCTGATGCTAAGGATTATGATTCCCTTTCCTGTAGCTCTTCTAGAACAAAAATCTGTTATTGATAGGTATCGCACACACACATAGTACAGATTATTTCTAAGGTTTACCTAAGCTATTGTTTGCCATTAGCATTTTTCTGTGTTTAGCATACTTTTGCAGATACAAAGGGGGTAGAATTTCAGTATATATTTACTGCCTTTTCTGAGTATCTGCTTTGTATTCATGGGTTGTGTTCTAATGATTTATTTTCCTCAACATGTATAAACTACTGTTTTGCCAGTTAAATCTTATTTTATATCTTGCCAGTGTTTATGATTTTTTTCTTGTAATTTTTATGCCCTTGGTGTATGACGGTTCTTCAGTTTGGCAGCATCTCTAGATTTCACTGCGCTGTTTGGGTTTTTTGCTTAAGAACAAACATAAAAGCTATATTATGCCAAATCAACAAGGGACTTCTGTGGTATCACAATAGTTACCCCACCTGCTAGCAAATAAAAGCGCCTTGTAGCTTCCCATCAATCTGATTTTAGTATTTCAAGCTAAACTTGACAGGACTCGTAATTCAAGCCTCCTTGGGTTATTTTTGTAAATTCTAACCGAGTTGCTTATTTCCCTATGGAAAAGATAACACTGAATTTTTCATTAATTTTGTAACTGATCCAAAGAAGAAGAGGCAGGTTTGTCTGCTGTATCATTTGCTTGATTCAGAAATCTGTTCTACTGTCAGTTCTTGTGAGTTTGATATTTGTTTTCGAAGTAGGATAGTACATAATTGCAGTTTTTATGGGATACGATTTGGTGAATTAGCGTGGACAATGAGGGAGATCAAGACCATTATTTAACTGAAGATGTTTCCTCTCCAGTGTACAACTTTTACATGAAATTTATTACGTCCCAACACTATTTTATCATGAGGTGGGAAATGGGGATAATTATACTTCTTCACCTGTGAAAACATCCTCTAAATCTGTCAAGAGGGACAAACTACACCCATACCAATGTATCAGGGACATGTTGTGCATGTGATATAATAAAAATGCCACAAGAAACTCAAATTGCGAGACTGTCAAAAGCTTTATGTAAATGCTGCCATGTA